CACCCAGGTGCTGAGTGTGGCTCTGCAGTGACTCTGGCCGGCCCTGCTCCCAGCCTCACCCAGGTGCTGAGTGTGGCTCTGCAGTGACTCTGGCCCTGCTCCCAGCCTCACCCAGGTGCTGAGTGTGGCTCCTCGGCCTTCGTTATCTGGAAACTCTGGCCTCTGTCTCCTCTTTCTGGCCATGGGTTTCATCACCTCCTGGATTTGGTGCCAAAAATTTGCCCCTTCACTTTGACCCTTGGCCCAGAATCTCACCTCTCCCACCCTGTGGCAAGATGGGAAAGAGATTTCATTGTGCTGATCAAGGTTGTTTGAAGACCTTCTTTAGGATCCGGAAAATATAACATATTCTACTGACAGTTCTCCATGTTCGTGACTTTACTCTTGTTTACTTGTTCTAAGTTTTCTCTAATAAACATGGAGAAAAGCAAGAGTAACGCCTCAGATTTGTATAAAGGGCTTCTGCTTCTCATGTTTTCTTCAACCAGAACAGCTTAACTTTTCTGGGTTTTATTTTTTAACTCCAATAGTAAGATTTTGTTTTCACAAAGGACCGGACTCCTTGGCAAAACAAGCAAGTGCTTTTTGGATTACTGGTACGCCCAGCATTTCACTTAATCCTCCAACCCAGCAGAACTCCAAGATATTTTTTAAAATTCCATTTGAGAACTAAGGATATAAAAGCAACAAGATATCAATTGACTGAGGCTCTTTGATACACGAGTTTTATGTATGGGGGAAAATGCATGTGGCATAGCTGAGTATACTCAGGGTGTGTACTTGAGGAAGGAGCTTCACAGTGCAAATTGGGAATTCAAGGTGGTAGTTTCCTACGGTTATCAAAGTTTCAGCTCCAGGTAGACTTTTAATATCCGTGGCACTCATATCTCTTCCTGATCCTGCTGTGACCAGGATCCATTACCCTCCCGAAGATGTTGCAACCCTGACGCTTTCTCCGGTGGCCATTTTTTCTAAATTAAAAACTGAGATTTGTAATCTAGCGAAAAGATCTTTTATTTAAACACACGAATTCATTTACAGGAAAAATGTTCCAGAGACACGAAAGTCAAAATCCAATAAAGGAATGACCTTTGTTATGGAAAAACAAAGAAAGAAAAAAATCAGGTCTTCTTTGGAAAATCTGGGGCACTGAATTGTTAGAAGTAACATGTGTTTCCCTGGGGACATAGGTCACTCTCAGTGTTTGCCAAAGCATTAGGTCAGCCCGACACATTCAGCTGCTTCCATGTGTTTTGGTAAAAGCATAGAAGTTCCTTGGCCCCCTTTTATTTATTTATTTATTTTATTGTTGGGGGTTCATTGAGGGTACAAGAAACCAGGTTACACTGATTGCATTTGTTAGGTCAAGTCCCTCTTATAATTGTGTCTTGCCCCCAAAAGGTGTGTCACACACCGAGACCCCCACTCCCTTCCCTCCTTCCTTCTCTCTGCTCTTCCTTTCCCACTGGCCCCTTTTATTAAACATACGCTTTCCCTATACGGCATCCCTCTCCTAGGAGGCCAGTAATAGGATAAGCTCTGCATATTACTGTGCCTAGAAGTAGGTGTACAGTGTGTAAGGTTAACTTCCGCAGTATGATTAGAGATCTGGAGGACGATTTGGGGAAATCGGAAGAGTCTGTAATCTAATAGGAAAGGAATTACTCAAACAGCTGAAAGTGTGTTCATCTTCCCTGCCTCACAAATAACTTGGAAGCCGGTGGTAAACTTTACATCAAAAAGAAAATAAAACCATGCACAAACTCAGAGGTCAACTACGACAGGCATTTGTGAAAAAAAAAGAGCTGAAACAAATTTGTGGTAGAACAGTAGAAAATCCAGATCACTTAAAAGAAAAAAGAAACACCTGAAATCCGGTCATAGAGAAAAATTATTAAAATTTTGAGATACAGCTTTCCAGACTTCATATGTACAATGAAAAATTATACTTTCTGTTTTGTGATCTAGTTTTTAAAATTCTTGAATATATCATGAGCATATTTCTTTTTTTTTTTTTTTTATGAGCATATTTCTTTAAAGAATGTTTTTTAAATTAAAAAAAGATCTTTGGGAAATGCCAGGGGAGAGTGTGAAAGCAGTGGCCTACTACCAGAACTTACACAGTTGCATCTCCCACATTTGGGGAAAGTGCAGGGTCAACAAACACATGGGGAGTGCAACGGATAAGCCGTGCCCAGATGAGCTGTGCTGACCTCGCTACCTCCCTGCCAAGGCAATACCACGAACTCACGTCCATGTCGAGAAGACACTGAAATGTCAGCTTAGTCACTACATAGTATTTTACACATATTAGATGAATTTACTGTGATTTGCATAAGATTTTGGAGATCGCTAATTTTTGGCATTTATAAATATTAAAATGCTAAACATTCTTATAACCCTGAACTTTTTGGAATCCTTTATGAGTTTCTAAAGATAAACTCTGAGAAGCAGAATTGTAATATGTGGTTAAAATTCTTTGGCTCGGCGCCTGTGGCTCAAGCGGCTAAGGCGCCAGCCATATACACCTAAGGTGGCAGGTTCGAATCCCCAGCGCAGGCCCGCCAAACAACAATGATGGCTGCAACCAAAAAATGGCCAGGCGTTGTGGCGGGCGCCTGTAGTCCCAGCTACTTGGGAGGCTGAGGCAGGATACTCGCTTGAGCCCAGGAGTGGGAGGTTGCTGTGAGCGTGATGCCATGGTACTCTACCCAGGGGGATAGCTTGAGGCTCCGTCTCAAAAAAAAAAATTCTTTGGTTGCAAGTAATAAAAACCCAACTAGAATTGGCTTAAGGAAAAAGGAAGAATTTATGGACTCACATTTATTCAATAGTTTTTTTTAGCTATTACAGTTTTTGTTCATTGAAAAGTACAGACAGTTTTTCCCAGATTGGAACAGAGGTCTGTTCAAAGAAAACTATAGAGATTTTATTTTTTTAACCTAGGCTCATTCCTCACAAACACACACTGAATGCAATCAGCTAAACATTGCTAAACATTAACAGGTGCTCTCTGCGGGTCTCGGCAGCCCCCACCTGGGCAGCGGTCCCTCTCTGGCGTGCTTCCTGAGGACTCTGGTGCCTTGGCCTCCCCACACCACCTGCTCCATATCCTCAGTTCCAACAGACCACAAGGCTCCACCTGGGCTCCCCCTCTTTGCAATATAGCTTGGAAACTCTCTCTGGGCAGGGAGAGGGGCATCCCTCTCTAGGGCTCACTGTCTCATGTCTCTTGATGTCCAATGTCTGAAAACCATTTGTTACACATCTTGTCTGTTTTTGTTTTGTTTTTAATGAGTGTCTGGTTTTTAAATTGTTTCAGTGTGAAGTAAATCCAGCCCTTTCACTCCGTCTTGGTCCAAAGGGAAGTCTCTATCTTGACAACTATTTTTGGATTGCACATTATGTCTGGGCACTGCGGATCCCCGCGTCTGTGGAGCACAGGATCAAACCGCAGAGAGGTCAGAGAATCAGAAGCAGAGCTAGCTCTGAGGACAGCAGGATCCAGGGATATAAAGGCGACCAGATTTCATGTGTCTCTCTGGCTCTCTCCCCCATCTCTCTCCCCTTTCATATCCTATGTCATGGTATCTTTCTGCACCCTGGTGTCAATCTTTTCTTCTTCAGATGAGTTGAATTCATGAAGAGTTCACAGCTAAAGCAACTTGGAATCGCATTCTTTCAAACTTACCTGTTTTTTAGCTTAGTCATTTTGAGAACTCAATTTCTTTTCTTCTGCTTCAGTATGAAAATTTTCTAGAATAGAATCATAAGCCCATCTCTTGGACGGACCTTAAATTGTCCTAGTCAGGATCCTGGGCCTACTTTTATGGCCAGGAATCTGGAATCTCCTCCCAGACGGATCCACAGGGAATCATCAGCTGAGCAGCCATTCCAACTTGTGTCTACAGTTCTGGGTATGTTTGGTATGTTAAAATACTGCTTTGAAACAATTTCAGACTTTAGTACATTCACTGGCGGTTGGTGTTAAGTGTCAGACGCTTGCCTAGTGCAGTGCATAAAGAAACCAAGGTGGAAACAACCTTATGTTTGAATAAAAGTGGTCAAACAAGCAGTACATCATAGGATTAAACAGGAGAGAAGTCTGAGGGCAAAGGAGCCATTTATCAGATTAGTTTAGAAAGGATGCCATGGTGAGCTTTTCTCAGCTGAGGACCCAGGGCCAGGAAATCCTTCAACCATTTAGGCTAATCGTGTCACAGCCTGGCAAGAGAAACCTTCGATTTTGGAGTCATCTTTAACCTAGTCCCCCTACTTCTTATAATCATGAGCCAATTAGTTACTGGTTCTTATCCATTCTACCTCTTAGTGTCCTTTGAACCTGTCTGCTTCTTTCAGCCTTTATTCACGGAACTGTCCTTGCCCAAGCCGGTCTCACTTGGATCACTGCAGAAGCCTTCTGCCCGCTCCCCGACTGGCCCCCTGTAAGAGATGTTCGTGTTTGCTGCCCAGCATCTGATCTTTCCTGGAAGCAATACCCCAAATTTCCTTTCGGGAATCACCCTCTTCCCCTTCTCAACCATCTGATTTGGGTGGGATTTAGCCTCGCCCTCAGCTCCAGAAGTGGATTCTGTGCAGCTGTTTAGCATTCCTGCAGAACCCCTAACAGAGTTAGAGAATTCATGTCTCTCCTTGACCCTGCCAGCGGGTCCATGAGACACAACCAGATGCTTGTTGGGGCTTCTGGAAAGGAAGTTTCTCTCTTAAGAGAAGCATTTTCTCTTTCTGCTGGACATGAGCAAAGAAATATAGAAACTGCTACGGCCATCGTAGGGTCAGGAGGGGAGCAGACGGCAGGGTAAAGTAGATCACGCAAAAGTCAAACAAGACACATGGAAAGGAACCGGGCCAGAGTTCACCCCACCCTGAACTTACAGCTACGTGAGCCGATAAACTCCTCTATTGTCTAGCTGTTTGGGGTTAGGTATTCTGTAATTTATAACCCGAATCCTTCCAACTGTACTCTCTTTCGATCCATTTTCCATTCTGAATTCAAATGCGTCATGTCATTTCTGAGAGGGGCAGAGAGCCAGTTGCCAGCCTGCAAAATGACCATCCCACGGAGCCACCCTACGATGTCAGGCAGACAATGACGCATATGAGGCACTGAGGGCAGGACCTGTCACGTTGGATCAACATCTTATTCTCAACTTCAGTCCTTACAAAGACTGCTTTGTGCCCGTAAGGTACTGCTTTGTGCCCAGCAGCTTAACACGTCCTATTATGCTGACTCCTTTCATGGCGACCAGACGGCGACCAGACCTTCCCGGGCCTTCCTGAACCTGGTGCTCGCTCACCTACCACTTCAGACTCTCACCCTGCTTTTCGCTTTATATTATTTCTTTTTCACTTTATGCAGCAAACTCTATTCTTCCTTTGGTTCCTATGACACTTTCTCAGGAGCAATTTCCCTAATCTCACAGTTCAGGTTGGCCTTCCCTGCTCTACACTCATAATTACCTTTGGCAGCCCCCAAACTCCCAGGCTCAAGCAATCCTCCTACCTCCACTTCCCAGGTAGCTGGGACTGCAGGCACAAGGCCCACTCCTGTAATTCTGGCTCATTTTTATAGATCAGTTAGAATCAGGACCTTTCTATTCCCACAGTGTCTGCCTTCATTTTATTACACTGTCATTTTTTGGCATTGGTGACTTTTACTCATTTCTTGGTATGACAGATAGATCCAGATGTTCACCAGGTAAACCCTACAGCCTGCAGAGTTCATAGCCCTACCCACTGTTTTTGTGATGTTCTAGGCCTCATTTCTTCAGAATTATGTCTCTAAACTCCTAAATACCCCTGTGCTCTATGGTTCCATCCCATCCTAGGCCAGTGCAGAAGGGAAGAACAGAGTCTTCACTGGTTTTACTAAAACCTCCTTGCACCCAAACACGTGATTTGCTGGGTCCCAGAGAAGGGTCGCAGGGCCCGGTGCCTGGTGCTTCATCAGCTGGAACACTTACTTGGTTTCACTTCTTTTTTGCTCCTCTCTTTTCTTCTCTCCATACCATCCCTGTACCTCTGGAATTTAAAAAACGAACTCAACCATATTCTCCACAGAATAGTTCTTCCCAGAGTCCGAGCTTCAGTCTGTCAGTCCTCAACTGTCCCCACAGGTGACTGAAGCTGGATGGCTCTTTACATGTGTCCCGAATGGACGAGACCAGGCCTTTGATCAGCCTTTGGGGGCGAGCTGTCCCCAGGGAGGACGCAAGCCCTTGAGAGAGGCTCTCCCCACCCCCATCTGAGGGTAATCCTCAGGGAGAGACAGACTCAGCTTTGTACCCGCGGTAGCCAACACTCCCAAAGCTGGGGAAACCACTGCTTCAATCCTGGAGATTGTGAATAAATAGTTATTGAATTAATAAATAAGAAAATGCCAAAATGACAGACAATGCTTGGGCATAGATGCATTCTAGAGCACGTTAAGTCAGGAAAGTCTGGCAAAAATTGACCTGAAAGGCTTGGCGCCTGTGGCTCAAGTGGCTAGGGCACCAGCCACATACACCCAAGGTGGCAGGTTTGAGTCCAGCCCGGCCCCGCCAAACAACGATGACGGCTGCAACCAAAAAATAGCCGGGCGTTGTGGCGGGCGCCTGTGGTCCCAGCTACTTGGGAGGCTGAGGCAGGAGACTTGATTGAGCCCAGGAGTTGGAGGTTGCTGTGAGCTGAGATGCCACAGTACTCCACCCAGGGGGACACCTTGAGGCTCCTGTCTCAAAAAAAAAAAAAAAATTGACCTGAAAAGCACAGTATTTGGGGTCCCAGAGTTTACATTTTCACTCTTAGCCCTATCTGAATTAAAGTTTAACCCAAGACACTCAGATTCTTTAATATCAGATACCTTTAAGTTGACATTTAAGCTAGGTTTTGTGGAATGCTCATTCTCTCTCTCTCTCTCTTTTTTAAAGAGACAGAGTCTCACTTTATTGCCCTCTGTAGAGTGCTGTGACATCACAGCTCACAGCAACCTCCAACTCCTGGGCTTAGGCTATTCTCTTGCCTCAGCCTCCTAAGTAGCTGTGACTACAGGTGCCCACTACAATGCCCAGCTTTTTTTTTTGTTGTTGTTGCAGTTTGACTGGGGCCAGGTTTGAACCCACCACCCTTGGTATATGGGGCCAGCACCCTACTCACTGAGCCACAGGCATCGCCCTGCTCATTCGCTCTTAAAAATATACATTTTGCAGCCAAGTGCAATGGCTCACACCTGTAATCT